AGAATTGTTACTTGCAAGCTTGCGTAGTTGCGTTGCCGTTCACACTTTCGTATCCGCGAACCACGCCTGCAAGAGAAAGGTGCCACCGGAAAGCAAGAAGTATACGCAACGGGAGAGAATGGAATCCCACTCCCATGGTGTGAAAGATTTTTTTAGCAATATATCTGAATCAGTTGAACTTGCGCCCTTACAGCGAGACAAAAAGTAGCGCTAGTGATTTCACCAAAACCGTCTTTTTATTGTGATAGTAATTGAATGGGCAGTCCCGGCTGGTTTCAACTGTTGCCAAAACTGCCCTCATGCACCGCATATGTATACGTATCTACATATAGGAAAACCCAAGAAAGAAAAAAACTTACAGCACATCCACGCTACGAATGATGATGAGTGGGGCGAGGCATCCGTCAATCCGTCCTTTCATCAGACCATTCGCACGTGCGTCCGTCCACGCGTCCGTTTGTGCGTGTGTCTGTCTGTCTGTCCGTCTGCTTGTCTATCTGCTTGTGTGTCCGTCCATGCGTCCGTCCGCGCGTGCGTCCGTCCATCTGGTGAGCACTTCAAGTACCGTCATCCCGCTTCCTTTTATCATATACAAGTACCGCCATTCAGCGGAAAATCCAAGGACTAAACGAGAGTATGTACCACATTTCTGCTGTCAGCGCTTTGTTAACATCCGTCTGTCAGTCCGTCCGTCCTTCCGTGCTTCTGTCCGTACGCAAAAGATGGACAGAGGGACGCTTCACTTCTTTCATCATCATTCAATCCGTGGATATGCTGTGATTTTTTTGCCAGCAATCGGACTATTATGTTAGGTTATAGCGCCGTTTTGTTTGTACGTCCGGTTTATTTTGGGGTCAAGGAAAGTAATGTTACATTATTTACACCATCTCCCACTAAAGACCACCACGAGTAGCATACGAAGCAGCGCATGGGTCGACTTTATGTTCAGCTCATTCCAGATACCTTGCCCGATGATTGCGCGTCCTTGCAAGTGGAGGACACTATGAATTCACTGCATTTTCTGTTGCTGTTACTCGTCCCGGACTCCTCTTGGAGCACGCCGTGCGGGTTCATCTCCACGCGACGCGGGAGCGCGTGGGTCTATCGCGCGTAAGCAGAGCCTCGTTCCCCGACGCCATCACGTGATTACTAAGACAGTGTAAGGGGGAGAGGCCACAGCCACTTGCACAGCCGCTTAGGCAGGGCCGAACGCGCTAACGCTTGCCAGCGCACCCTAACGAGGATACAACGCGTTGGTTCCTCGCGCGTCTGCAGAATCTCGTTTCCCGATGCCATCACATGATCACCGGGGAAGCGTCAAGGAGAGAGGCCACAGCGTCTCACCGAGCACAGGCTCGAACGTGCTAGCGCGTGAACGCGCACATGCAGTCCTTTGGCCAGCTTTCGCACATGCGCAGTAGGGGTGGTGACGCCGCACTAAACTGGATCGAACTCCGCCATAAGCTGATTCGCATCACATATGCTAAATCTCTGTCCCAAAAGAAAATGTGTTCAGCTGTGTTCATCCAGGAAATGTGTTCAGTGCTCCTTCCGGTTTTTCTCTGATGTAGCAGATGCGCCCCCAAGCAGATATAATCGCTTCTCTTTAGCCACAGTTTGCCAGGAAGCCTGCCCGTGCACAGCGAGAAGAAACACTTTTTTATGATAGCCTTCATCGGCACTCTTTTTACACTTTTTAAAGCATTCTTCTCATTCCACAATACATATATCGACCGGTATCACAGAAGCGAACACATAACGTCAACCAAGCCTTTGTACAATCGCTTTTTTTTGTGACAGAGACGAATATCCTAAGGAGAAGAGCGCTTTCAGGAACCGATTAGCAATTATTATCTCTTACGAAAACACTTTCCTGGTTCATTTTGGGGCTGCACATGAAGTAGCAAGGAAATCTGACATTGTATGACCCAGCCCTGTCTCGATGACACATTATAAAAACCATTACTTTTGTCACGCAGCAACATGAATCAAGTCACTAACTACTTGGAAAAGTAGTTCTGTTTTTGAAGCCCATCTTTTTTTTACCAATTTTTTTATACCGGAACAAACTAAAACCACTTGCGCGCTCCTATTTACAGAGACCCTCTCGTACTCTAAACTAGAATCCTACTCCTAGGCCTGCAAGCCGACATACAACCCTGAGACAAATTTTATGTGATGTGGAGCGTCCTTGGCTCGTTGATCTGGAAGGTCAGACCGCCCAGTTGACCCCAGCCCACAACACATGAAAGTTGTCTTACAAACTGGAGAGTTAGAAAAAGGAACTTCGCAAATGAAAGCTGTCGAGAATACGAACATAAGGTCACCTTTTATCTTTCGACTAAAAAAAAAAGAGGGCTGGTGAAACACGGGACTTCTTGAGTCGTAAGTGAAAAGCATACTCCTAGACCAAGAGGTCGACAGAGAGCCTTGAGACAGACTTTATGCGGTGGACAGAATCCACAGCTCGTTGGTTTGGATGGTCAGACCAACCAGTAGACCTGAGCCCAAATCACAAGGAGTTAGTAATTGGAGTTTGACATCCTAGAACCCCAAATGATCATGAAAGACACCATAGAGGAGGGTTCCGGAAAGTTCGATCCCCTTGTGTTCTCTAACGTGCATTTAAAGATGAGTACACATCCCTCAAACATTATCGCCGTCATCGAAATTGCGGTCACCGCGGCCGGGTTTTGATCCCGCGACCTGCGGGTCAGCAGCTGAGTACCTTACGCACTAAATAGACCACCGCGGTGGGGTCAACACATGTGGAAGCTGTCCTATAAACTGTAGGCTCAGAAAGAACTTGCCAAAATAAAGTGCTTTGAGCACGAACTAAAGGTCACCTTTCATTCTCCAATGGAGCCAGAAGACAGAATTGGATCTTCGGGGGTTCAAAAACCAGCCCACGCTCCCGCAATACCATACGATTGCCGGAGTTGGCTTACTATATATGTGTATATATGAGCCCGCATTCATGAAACAAAGCATCTACTAAACGCACAAAGGGAGCCCACAACCAGCTGCCGCCGCACAAACTCGTCTCATCATGTTATAGTTCACGGCCTTGTTTCTGGCATGGGTTTGGGCCTCTGCGTGAAAGTGTATGCGCGAGGAATACTGCAGCATTCTTCGCGCATACGCTTGCATGATATATGTGCGAGTCCATGGCACTCGTTCTCTGTTTGAGATTTTGCTTCTTTATTTATTATCTGTCTTCTTCCCAGGTCTCCATTGCTGTTTTCCGTGCAGAGAGGTTGTGTATAGTTCGCGATCTCCCATATCCGCCAGCGTAGCTCTCGTCAATCGGTGCCTTGTCCTCGAACTCCTTCGACCGTGTACCAATCCTTTTCTTTTCACCATACTTACACAACCTTCTAAAAAAGCTTTACAGTTTCCGTCAAAAAGTTTTATTTATAGTTTATCTTGTAGTTCTTAGGTAAACGTAAGCTTTGCAATGATCAAACTGTTAAAACCTTTAAAGGAAAGCATTAACAAAGTTTGCCAAAATAAGCGTGTTTCTTACCTTTCCTTCTTCCGTGGCTGGAATCTAATGTCGCTGCCCAAACACTGTTGATTAAGTCTAGTAACTCACATAAAACTAGTGCCATTAATCTGTGCTTTTTTATGGAAGTAATTTTGACCACAAATTCTATACAAGTGCATTGAAGAGAAAGGTTTCGTTTATTCGAGGATGATAGCGCAAGCCTACTACGCAACCAATCCAAGCCACGCCAGTTTCGCTCATGGCGGTTTTGTTGGATTGTGATTCCGGTTGCTTCATATCGCACAACAAGCTTGTAGAAAGCTGGTACAGAAAATGCCGGCGCTCTGCAAAAGGCGATGTTATTTCGATTAAGCTGAAAGACGCCTTATTCGATGTCAGAACTCCAATGAGGATGGACTCGGCTGCCGAAAAGCTGGTGGCGGGAACAAGGCGCCGGGTGAGTAAGCAGGCCCCTTTTTGTGATCAAGCATGTTTATTTTGAGCGGTGCAACTCGTAACAGCAACGAAACCGTCATGGGAATTACTTTACAGAAATTCAAGTGGCGAAGTTCAGATGACAATCCACTGACCGATTTTGTTAAGGTAAGCGATATGTCTATATATATATATATGTGTGTATAAACTTCGACAATAGTGCAGTATAGGAAACAAAACAATAAAATATTTATTTAATCCTAACAGTTTCGGCTGGTGCACCAGCCTTCTTCGGAGGATGTAAGTGAAATGGTACAAGTTCCCGTAGCAGAGGGTCACCCTCACAGTTTGAAGACCCTCCAAAACGAAAAAGTAAGGTAACGGTAGCCAGAAAAAAAAAAAAAAACTCTAATCATATATATATATATATATATATATATATATATATATATATATATATATATATATATATATATATATATATATTCTGGAGAACGACGTGCAAACCGACGACACTATTATGAAACTACACCGTTGTGCGTGCCCCGGATTAATTTGGACCATCTGGGGCCTTTTAACGTGCACCTGAGTTTAACAACACAGGTGTTCTTGCTGTTTGCCCCGATCGAAATGCGGCGGCTGTGGCCAGGAATCAAATCCGTGTCCTCAAGCAAATAAACTAATATTTTAAAAATATATTTCATGTGCGATGTATGAAAAAAAGCAATCGATTGTAAGCGTCTGCCATACCCAAATTGGTTTCACATCAGAATCACGCTACACTGTTCTGCGACTTGTGTGGCTTCTGTCTTAGCACTGTTACACAAACTTACTTGATCGTTATCTCAATTCAGCTTTGGCCGATGGCAATTGATAAGGGGCAGTAGCTGTAGCTAGCTGACAGGCATGCTACCTTGTGGCGTATTATCTACTGATTATGCAGTATTCACCTCTTGGAAGTTATAGCAATGGAAAGAAACCTCTTGGTAGCTTACATACAAATGCCTGTGATGAAGGCTAATGGTAAATGGGATAACGTTCCAAGAGCTATAGCTGTAATTGACTTGTGGAAATTTCGCAGCACACACTTCCATAAGATTTGTAATCTTTGCAGACATCCGCATCGCCACCAAGAAGCGCCGTGGCCACGAGACCTTGTTTCCTTACACATGTTATCCATATGTACCGTAAATGCACGATGTTTGCGTTCCAGTGAGGTCAGGGCACAATTAAGTGCATCTAAATGAAACAGGAGAGGGAGAGTAACACTGCAGATAAACAGAAAGGAACAGGCGCGAGCATAAGTCTGCAGACGACAGGATTGCGTGGTCATACGCATTGACGCGCTATCTAGTGACGAGACGTCTGCTGCGGTGCACACGCTCGTCCCGTCGTATCAGTTTAGTTTTCTCCGACGAGCTAGTAGCCAAAACGACACCTGGGTGTCGCTGTGTTTGCTATATCGAAGGAAAACTCATTGAACAGGCACTACCAGCTTTGATGTATGCAGATGATAATAGTGCTAATGGCCGACAACAAGGAAGATTTGCTGGGATTGATATGCATCTGTGGTAATGAGGCAGATAGGTTAGATTTGAGATTCAGTAAAGAAAAATCAGCATTCATGATTTTTAATGATAATGAAGGTAATGAAGGTAGGGACTGAGTACCTAAGGGAACACGAAATATACGTAATGACTAAAGGTAACAGGAATGCAGTGGTGATGAAAAATAGGGCATTCTGGAATTACAATTGGTATGATGTTGCGAGAGGAATTTGGAAAGGGGTCATGGTTCCTGGTCTGACGTTCAGCACTGCGGTCTTGTGCATGAGGTCAGAAGTTCAAGCAAGATTAGAAATTAACCAACATGAAATAGGTAGGCTTTCTTTAGGAGCTCACGGGAATACACCAAATTAGGGAGTACAAGGTGATATGGGATGAACATCATGCGAGGGCGCGGAAGCTAGCAGCAAAATAAAATTGAGGAGCGATTGAGAGAAATGGGGGAGGAGCGTTAGGCTAAGAAGGTTTTCAGCTATTCGTACATCAGGAATGTTGATCCAAAACAGAGGACGCGAACCAGTAAATTAACGGGTAAATACTTAGAAAACAGCAGGGGGCCAAACCAAAAAGAACTATTGGTTAAAAAGATGGTGAAGGAAACGGAGATAGATTGATATGTGGGGTTTAACGTCCCATAACCACTATATCATTATGAGAGATGCCACATTGAAGGACTCTGGAAATTTGTACCACTTGGGGTTCTTAAGAAACGTGCACCCAAATCTGAGCATACGGGCCTAGAACATTTTGGCCGCCATCAAAAATGCAGCCACCGCAGTCAGGAAACGGAGACCGACATGTGGAGAATTGGCAGGATTAAGAATTCGGCACTAGAGATCTATCGAACTTTCAAGCAGGAAATGGCCAAAGAAAGGATCTATGATAATACTCTGGGTAGTTCTCTAGTGTTTGAGGCCAGGACGGGAGTGTTGCGAACCAAGACATATCGGGCCAAATACGAAAGGGTACACACGGTATGCAGTGCGTGTGGAGAAAAGGAGGAAACTGCCGAACACTTGATAATATTCTGTAAAGGGCTTCACCCTATTGTTTAGGATGATGGCGCAGAGTTTTTCAAAGCACTGGGGTTTAGGGACAAGGAGGGCAAAATAGACTTTAAGCGGGTAGAAATAAATAGAAGGAGGTTATCTGGTTGATGGCTACAATCAAGGCATGAGTGAAAATTAAATCCTTCATTGCAAATGCCAGTTCTTAACTTCACTATTTAAAGGGGAAAAAAAGAGGTAAATTTAGTTTTTGTTCACTAAGTGTTACGGCTAGGTGGCGTTAGCTGCCGCCCAATTTAAAGGGTACAGCCATATCAATCTATCCATCGAATTTGTGCTGGTTTTTCGTTCTTTTTTTTTTTTTAATGTAGAGGCTGCGACTATGCTGGTTCCTGAGCGGGGATCGCTTAGTTATTTATGCCGGTTGAATCATAACTAAGCGTAGCCAGTCTCGCAAAACTTGATGAGGCCAAGCACACAAAGTTAAATTTTCTCATCTCAGCTTGCCTTTGTCGCGTTAGGCCAAGTTGAACATAAATTAACCTAGTTAAGTGAATGTAAGTGTAGCTGAATCTCATCCAGCCAAGTTGAGCGCGATATAACGTGGCAAATTTGGGCGTAATCAAGATGAAGCCTAGTCCAAGTTGCTGTTTTTATGTTAAGCGTAGTAAAGCTTCGATGCGCCCAGATTGGTCGAGAAGAGTACACGTACAGCTCAATTCAATTACACATAGTTGATCATATCATTTTGTTTAGCCGAGCAAAATTAGCCCAAATAAGGCAAACCTTATTGTGGCCAATTAATTGACATCGACTTCCCCATGAGCATAGAGGTGCCAAACTCTGCAAGATACTAATTAATCCTTTCTGACACTATTGGTTGATCATAGCATCATCCAATAGTGTCAGAAAGGATTAATTAGTATCTGTTTGGTTGATCATAGCATCATCAAACTATTTTGAATATATTTAGGTGTAATTAAATAAGTTCTCATAAAACACAATGAAGTAAATAAAGTTGAATTTGTATGAGCTCAGAGATTCCAAGCTGAGGAAGATACTATTTACTGATGATTGAGTCTAGTTTCATTAAGCTAAATAAATCTAGTTAGCCTTAAAACTAATTTTGATTATGTCTTCGTATTTATTGCACTTTTTACATGATAACTAGCCTCATTTAAGTTTAACTTGGCTTAACGCAACGAAGGCAAGCTGAGAAAACTTATTTTGTGTGCTTGGCTTCATCAGGTTTGGGAGGCTGGCTATGCTTAGTTATGCTAATAAACCGGTATAAACCACGCACGTTAAAGAACCCCAGGTAGTCGAAATTTCCGGAGCCCTCCACTATGATGTCCCTCACAATCATATTGTGGTCTTGGGACGTTAAACCCCACATATCAGTTAATTATCATCGGTATAAATCACGACGTGAGCCCGGCGCTGCAACCGGCGTCGTTGCAGCCACTATGTAAAAAAAAAAAACTGCACAAATTTGTTGGATATAGTGACATAAAAAGCCAACTCATACAACGAGACATGCATGTCCACTACACCGTCTCGTCACCAGATAACGCATCAATGCCATCGGCCACGAGATCCCATGATCTGCACGCTTATGCTCACACCTGTACATCCTGATGGCAAAAATTAATCCGTACGGCAACTTTTGTGCCATCGCTTCTGCTGTAGCACAACGATAAGGTGGGAAATACTGTCATAAATGGACAACTTGCTGCCCATTGTAAGAAATATAATGTGAAGCCACAGTGTCTTCCTCTTTTTAATCAGACAGTATATCCAAGGTAGCGTAACTTTTATAGAAGCCCATGTATTCGGTAGCTGGCAGCTCATTGCCACCGTCATCATATACGTATGGAGGGGACAACTAACACTAAAAAATAAACAAAAAAATAATGAAGTATGACATCGAAATTGGAAGAAATGGTGACATCGTGTTTGCTTTAAATGGTCCAAAATTAAATATTTTCTGAATTGCCATCATTTTACGTGCCTTTTTATACATTTGCAATTTCATTGCGGCTTTATGGCTGGCAATTTGGGCGCGAGAGAGAAAAGGAAGACCAACAAGAGAGATTGAGAAAGCAAGGTTGTTTTATTAGCCAAACAGTGTACTTTAAATATGCACCAAAAAACTTGTAGATAGAGAAATTGTGATACAACTGTTCACAAGCATAATGGCACAATAGTTAGAAAACTCGCGTTGCCTAATTTTGGAAAACCACTGCAGCGAGACAGCAGCTTTGAGAATATTCCTTTAGGTCCTTTTGTCGCTTAGCGTGTCGCATTCACCGTCCCGGAAGATGAGGGCACACCGGCCGTGCGCCAGCGAAGGCAGTCGTCGGCAGTCACAGGAGTGGCTATGTACAATTTCTCTGAGCTAGTTCAGCGCTGAAATGTCATGCTAGTGAGCAGCACATAAATAAACACATAAATCACCGAAAGTATGCACAAAGCCACCGCAGAAAAGTGAGAGATGCCTCGTTGACCCGTCAGTGCACTGAACCGGCCCGGACTAAACACAAGCCTCGATGGCAGATTGCATGGATACACCCCATTTATGGCACTCGACCAAAAAATTAGGCAATTAACCATTTAGCCAGGTGTCAGACAAACCATAAATTAAATTTATAGTTAACTTTGGCATATATAAAATTATGACTATTTAACAAAAAGAATTCTATTAAATTTTTGGTTTTGGATATTTGTCCCCTCCTTACCTAGTCGGGCTTCAATCGTCCACGGGCATTGATGCCTGTGGCAATAGGTTTTCGACACTTTTCGTTCCAAGTTTCGGGACCTATATAATTTGATCATGGTATATCTGTCTCGCCATTTCAATAGATGGCTTGCATGTGACGTCACGGACATAGCTTCTTAAAGGAACTGGGACTCCACAATGGCGGCTTTGATGATAAACAAGTGGAGTTTGTGTGAAAATGCTCTGGCAGGAACGTCTCTGTGCGGGAATGATGAAATAACCTGCATGTGAGTCTGTTGCTGGGCCTATTGGTACATACTTGAAGAAATGAAAAAACCAGCTTAGGGTGCACGTGTCTGAATAAACTAAAAAACAGCTTACGGCGCACATGTCTGTAGTCTTCTCTTCTTGTGTATGCGTCCCTAAGCTGGTTTTTCCATTTCTTCAACCTGCATGTGATGTATCAATAATATGAAATTAGGAACCTCACGTTCTCACATGTTGGTGCTCCAACACAACGGTTTCAGTGATGTCAGTGCAAGCCATCTATAGGATTACTAGCAAATTGTAGAGGCGTTCGAGATGTATAGCCAGGCCAGGAAATGAATGTGTCAGCACGCCGTCTGTTCTTTTATTTGATAGTGTGCATGCATGTGTGTGCGTGTTTCATACCCCTGTTACACGGCAAACCTAATGCCATTTACAACAAATGACATTAAGCGGACCTAATGTCATTTTACCTGCATGCTATCACCCGATGTCTTTTTGAAATGATGACCATGACCTCAGCTCTCCTGAGCCATAGATTTTAAGATAAATAAAAATATACTGAAACTTGCATGCAATATGCGTGTATCCACAAAAATAATTTTTATGGGTAAAAAGGTGCTCCTAGAATATAAACGCAGATGTTTTACACAACTTGCCACAGCTGCACGACGCACTCGAAAACCAACGTGGCCGTTGATATGCCCGATTGGGTGCAAATACAGTCAGCTGAAGCGGGGTGCACAACTGACTTCGCAAATGCAAAAATTAGACAGTGCGATTTCATGTAGTCACCACTTTGGTCACCACAACACATGCAATCGAACAATCAACATGCACCATACAGGCAACAACGACAATAGAGCGAAATTTAAGCATGGTCGACATCCAGCCGCTGTAGTTAAGGGAAGCTTTTTTTTAGAAACTTCTGTATATGCTATTACGTCATCAAGCCAGTGATAAGTTGACCTAGTAAAGAAAAAGATATTTACAAATGATAAAAGTTACGTATACCCAAGTAAACAGTCATTCCTCTAAAAGTCCGTGGCATAGAGACTACTCATTTGGTCTGAAATCATTCATTCTCATTCGACCGAAAATGTCATTCTCATCAAATTTTCATCAAATGGCATTACTTTTCCCGTGTGACAGCAAACAAATGTCATTACAAACGAATGACATTCGCTGTAAGTGACATTATATTCGCCATGTGACAGGGGTATAAAAAGACACGTGCCCATTTACCTTCTTTCTTTCTGCCATTTGTTTCCTGTTGCGGTTCAAATGTGTGTTCATGTTGTCTGCTGTTTATTTAGTGCGCCATGGTTCACTTACATGAATGAAAGGACAGCACGTGTTACAATCAGCCATGCAGCTGGATAGCAGAGGCAAGTGAGCGCATTGTGCGAGCTGCCCTGGATGCTGGCCACCTGGAGCCGGGGCTGGCCAGTGACGAAGAGGTGCTTGAAAACAATTGCACAGCGCGGGCCGCGGCTGCCGACGCCCTGGCGGCTGCCTCTGGGCTCGATGCCTGTCCCTCTTTGCCCGTGGGATGTTCGACACCTCACACCAGGCACGTGTTCTTTCTTTGATCCTTGCATTCATTTGGGCATTGGAGGCAAGAAAAGAAACCTATAGAAGAGAGAGCGCCTACAGCGTCCACACAAGCCAACCACTTCCAAAGCCGCGTGCTCATGCCTGTGGTAGAATTTCCATCATGCTCCGGATTCAGTTTTAACCTTTTTATCTCGTCTACAAGATTGTCGCATGGTGCTATCATCTAACTTTTTTTTCTCTCTTTCTTTAGGCAACGAGGATATTTAATTTCCCACTAACTCGGTGTTTGCGCTCACTTTCTTGTCCACGGTGCTCAAAAATTACAAAAGCCAGTTGATACTCCAAATGAGCTTGTTATGCCGCAAAGGGTTACACTGTTTCGACTTGTAGCCTCAAGAAGAAAACAAGAGGTAGGTGGGAAAAGAAGAAAGCGTGGCTTTCTGCGGGATTTTGGCTGACAGCGACGAACAGATAGCACAGCTTACAAAAATTGTTAAAAGTCCACTCAATCGGCGCTAGATCATTTCGGAAAAAAAAAAGAACGCCAGGCCTGTGTAAAATGCGCATCACAGTGGCAGCGAAAACTGGAAGAGCAGCATTCAGAGCCTTTTTTTAAACACTCTTCAGGTAAACGCTACAAGCACACTTAAGTGCTGGGTACCTACTAGTAACTAATTATAATTTCTGTCTTGTAGTAGGCTGGCATTCTCTATGCCATCCTTCATCATTTTTCAGAGGCGTAATGTGCGCTTCACCCTTGTAAAGACTTTCGTGCAATTTTTTTATGCGGTGGCTGACAACAATGAAGAATAATGCCTGGATCTTTAGTTATAGGTTGTAGCATTCAATGACCCACTTGTTATGCAATTCGTATTGTGTGACGCCTGGTTGTTTCTTGGTTGTTGTAAAATGCTTTAATACTTATATTAACGCGATTCCTTTGCCGACATCAAGCCTGTCTAGGGTCAGTTTGGAACGGAGTTTCAATTGGCACAGCCTTGGCTAAGTGGTAGAGCAGTGGGCTGACACATAGGGGACCCTGTTCGAATCCCGTCGTGTTCTTGGTGCTTTTATATACTAAGCTTTTCTTCTTATTTCACGTGATAGTTATTACGGACACCGGCGGCGGGTGGTGGACAACTACGGCACCCGCGACTCTTGTGATCTCATAACTTTCACTGTAAAATAAGGGTGTATGGGAAGGGACAAACTGCTTTTGGGCACTGACCTTTCATGGAAATCTTCAATGTATCTGCTTTTTTTTCCGCCAGTTTGTTTTGAAATATTCCTGTGCATACTTTTTAGCAACTCTCTTGTTATCTTTAGCCTTGGTACTGAAATCGCAAAAAAAAAAGCGAAAGGTTGAAAATTTCACATGCAGGTTTCGCATGCACACACACAAACAAACAAAAAGAAAGAAGCCATCTTCTATTTCAATCAAATTTGTCCATGGTTATCTATTCAGATAGGCTATTCAAATCCTATATGCAAAGTTGCATAATTTTCTTCTAAGTAGAGAATATTGTGCTGGTCGTAAGGAATAGGGAACACCAAATTCATGTTTAATCAATGGATACTGGAATATAGGCAAATGCCTATTTTGTTTTTTGCATTCCTATCGGGTCATTTTGACATATGAGCATGAATTAGAGGGTAAAAAGAGCTTTTATAGTGTTTTTATAGAGCCTATAAATGCCTATTTTGGGCATTGGTGCCTAAATTCCTATAGGTGCCTATAAATGCCTGTCTTTAAAATCGGTGTCTTTATAAACGCTACTTAACCTTAAATTTTGCCTTCAAGTTCCGCTGGAGTCTGGTATTCATGTTACTTGGCCGAATTGAGCTTTCGGAACACTGTGGGGTGCAACCTATACTCCATCTCACAAGTTACTGCGAGGCCTTTCAGCCAATAGCCTACAAGGCCTTTTAGCCAATAGGAAAATCAATTAGCCTCTACATGTATTAATTCGTGTCGCATCGTCGGCTCGGCATTTCTCCAGCGTCTGCTCACTTGCGTAGGAAGCAGGAGGTGCTTTTGTGCAGCAGCAGGACGATTATCAAATCTGAAACCGCAGAGTGTTATCAGGGGAAAGTAAAGTGTAGAAAAGAAAAACAATACACATGTGGTTTTTGTTTTATTTGTCATTTACTTCTTGAATGGCATTTCATTAGGTCACATGAGAAATTTTACTTAGACAGTGGAAATGAAACAGTGAGACAATGAAAGGCTTTGTATCACTAGAATTTTTTAATTGGTTCATTACAAGCTGTGAAAGCATGATGTGATGAGGTGAGCTTGAAACCTTCACTACTCACTCGATGTAGAATTCGCTAGCCCAATTCCTTGCCTGCCCTATTTGATATTGGAGCAACTCGGATCTGGAGGATGACGACGCAAACGCATCAGCACGTCATGCGTGCGTAAGATACCTTCACATGACATGCCCTTGCCAGGCAGTGCACGCAAGCGGTGTTCTGTTGTTTTGATGTTCACTGTATTGTACTGCCTGTTTCTGTGGGATAAATCCCGCTGTGCACGCACATTTGGAGAGGCTGGCAGGCATCACGTGTCCTTACCACGATACATGTCGCACCACTGGAACTCCTCTAAAAGACAATGCACAAAAAACACGCCGAGCGTTGTGAATGTTGGCACTGGTACGATGCGAGAACGGCGAGAACACCAACGCAAACGAAATGAAGACAACTTAGTCTCACATCTCGCTCGATACGAAGTTGAAAAAAAAACATGCATAGATTCCGTCTGTGTGTTTTGATATTTCTGTCAACCTTCATACTTCTATTCTGGCATCAGGTTGCACAAATTACACACGTCGTCTCGAATAGTTCTCGCAGTGTCACGTACTACTTTGATGTACGCAGGATCATTCCTTGTTGTATACATCACCTTCATCATGTTGGGGCGCACTCCCAAGTGGTGTTCAGTCTGACATTTCACCTCTTTATGATGTGCGTAGCACTGCAAATCTTGGCAGACGAGATCATGAGCGCCCAGTGCATGCATTCCTCTTGGCTTCTCGAAATTCTCAAACCTGCATAAGGGCCCTTTAAGGTGTTCACAGACAGAAGAAAAAGTGAGCCTCTGTGATTACACCAAGTTGATACAAGGCAAAAAGATCTTTCTGGCCTATTGCGCCCTGGCTATTTGTACCTGTGTAGCCCTTTTCAGCTATGCCGAAAAGAGAGAGATCCAGACGCATGTTCATTTGACAGTGGACACTCAACTCACCATGCTGAATTAGAAATGGCAAGACCGTATTCTGTGAAGCCTGCGAGAAAAAAATGCATGGCTGTGTTAAATAATTACGCCTTTCTACCATCATAAACTAAAACATTTTGTTTGCTTTCCTGTCATAGACACAGATCCCACAAGTATTTCTTAGAAATCTTAAATAGTGTCAAAGTTTATTGTGCCTATATTTACGATTTTGGGAGCCTAAAACACTGTTCTGCCCGCCTACTTTTGACCCCTAAAACCCATTTTTTTGTGCCTATAAATCTGGCCTCTATTGATCAACGATCTCCTGTAACGCAGCAATATTAGCGTGACCTACTGAATTGCAAATGATACATTTCCTCTTGAGCATTTAGTCTCACTAACACTTTTGCGCTTGCGAACTGTGTTTAGCCGCTAAATACCTTAATGTTCACCCTCATATTGCTCATGACTGTACAGTAATGTATATGAACTGCGGACGTGTTCTTGTTGCACACTCTATTGCCTATGATTAATTTTCCCACTGCAGCGCCGCATCGCATCTTGCGTGTGTTTCCTGATTACCATTTCGTGCTGCAGCGACTATCCGCACTACGCACTTGCGTGTTTTCAGAAAGCGTGACCCCATCTTTCTCTCTGTTGTGCGTAGGTGCGTGCGCAAAGGTGGTGTGCTTAATTTCGCAGTATCGTATTTCACCAACCAATTCTCTCTCACTTTGCCTTATTATTAGTAACGCAAGCCTTCAAACAGGGGCTTCCCTTCCGCAGGGCCTTTCACTGCAATTTTTCTAAATGATTATCGGTTGCAATCTATCCGACTAAAAATGTCACTCGCGTGTTACAGCGTTAGCTTGCTACACTGGAGGCCCTATGGAGAGTCGATGAAGGGCAGTGACCACTTTTGTCAAGGTCACGCAGTGTCCCTATTGTAATACTAGGTCGAAATAGAATGCATACTAAAGAAATATTGTAGAATACAATTGTGCGTGACTGTGACGTTATATAGTTGGAAAACACGGGTTCAGACTCCTTCGGCGGCAGCCTTGTTCTCATGGGGGCAGAATGCAAACGCTCACATCTAGTCTACATTAATTCGGAACCTGCTGTTGTGTGTCTCTCAAATCACAAGAGCTATATATATTAGGACAAACTAGCAGCTACAAGCATCCTTGCCACGGCATTTCACAGGTTTGCCGCTGCAAAGGCTTGCTATTGCACAGGCTTGCTGATGTGCCTATTCATTTTTTTTTTTCTTTTTCTCGTGCGAGAATGTTTTGTGTGCCTTTTCTATGCCTTGTTTCACACTATCCTTGTACTGTAGTGAAAACTGTGCGACGCTTTTTGGGGCAATGAACTAGGGCGTTACAATTTCGAGGACACCATGTACTGGGGACAGAAAAGTCGACGTTAAATCGTGCCGCCAAATGTCTGCAGATGCCAGCTGCATATACATGTGAAACGGAGACTAACTGATTCTTACGAACATGCTGTTAAACATATGCAACCGACATCGCATGTGGAACTCATCTGAATCATCTTGTCCTATCAATTACACTGTGCAGTCGAATTACGTGCGAGTTGTTCATGTTGTTGTTTCGCATTGTTGCGTGAAAATTCAACACTGCAACTCTGATGAACCCTTGAAGCATATCGACACTGGCAGTTGCAGAACATGCTTGATTTTATCTACTCTAAAAAAAAGAGTAAAAAGGGTGTCTTTTTGTCCCTCAATAATAATCACCGTGCGGCTTCCTTGCCCTTCCTGTCATGAAAACTCTGAGCTGGCCACCCTACTATCAAGAAAGCTATGTCGCGCTGATAACGCCTGAAAGTGACCTGAAAGTGCCGGGTGTGCGGCGATAGTGCAAAGAAAGAAGTGCAAGATAGATGGCGATTATTATTATGGGACGAAACGATGCCCTTTTTGCTCGATATTTTCTTTCAGTGTACGTGTTATACTCTGTGCGCCGACACACTGCAATGCATAGATCTGCATTATAGACACAATGAAGCAGAAAACAATAGTTCAAATGTTTAACTCGCAACTTTCGTTTTATGTGATACAACGTGAACTGGTTCACGCGACAGGAAAAAAAAAACAAAAAAAATGTACGTGATAGACTGCAAGATCGCTATCCCACAAAGGCCAGGAAAGCTAGTCAAGGTAGTTCGATATAACTACTAGTACAACATTTCATCCACTGCGATATAGACTGCTGGCTAACTCATGCACGAAATAAATACGTTCCTTGTTGCTCTGAATCGCTTGACGTGCTTTTCCTGGCGTACCTCGTAGTGATAAGCATTGTGGTTCAGCTCTTTTGTTTCTTTTTTCTTGCATATATTCAATGTAAATGAAAACATAGAAGCAGGCAATATCTGCACCACCAATATTCATGGGTTGAGGCAACTATAATATGAAACAATAGATGTATTAATACGTTACGCGAGATAGCAGTTTGAAAAAAGTTAGTGATAGAAAAAAAGTGCACACGATAACCTGGGGTACCAAGCCTTTATCAGGGAGAATCGACTATTCTGTTGTAGGGCCGTTCATTGGGCGTATGCAGGAGAATAAGTTATGCTGAAATGAGGAGCGGTTGACATGTGTGTACTACACGAGGAATAATGGGTCAGTTCTGTCCTGTTTCTACGAACAGAATAAAAGATTGGTAGCCTGAAAACTACTTTTGTATACAGGTGAAGATTGCAGCAAGAACTAAAGAATGGTAGGAGGTAGGTAAGCGACAGAAATTATTTCAAGGAAGGTTAGCAAAATAAAAAAAGATTTATTAACGATGAAAGAACTATAGAAGCACTAAGTCAGGCGAGAGCTTGTGTAGAAAGCGTGTGAACGTCGTGTTTCATTGTGTGACCTGTGGCGCCATGTTCCAGGCTGATCCACTTTCGTGGCCAACCAGTATGGCTTCCCGCCAATGCGCGAGTGCAGATTGGCGACATACAAGACTTGGCACCGTTCCTTACAGGTGAACTACCCTACCCGCCTACCTGATTTGCATATGTGCATGCATGCGCTGACCAAGCAACTAGCATATACTTTAAAAGGGACACTAAAAATAAAAACTCTTTTTTCTTGTATTCTAGTAAATTGCTCTTTCACTATGTTAATAACACCGTGCTTGCTGCGAGGGTGACTTGGTAAGTGGGAAAACGCGCAAAAAGAAAATGCTGTTGGCGACGCCTCAGTTCCCACATCAGTTGCCACAACATTGTGTATTTCAGAGTTGCCCTTGGTGGCTACTTTACGACCCTGTATGGTGACAAAATTTCCAGGTTTTCACCATATTTTCTGAATACATTGAACTTCTATTTTGGCAAACTTAGTAGCCATTTTTTCCTCTCAATATTTGCACATAAAATGCCAACCAAGCCTAACGACTACCCTTGTTTTCAAGCTTTTCTTACGTATCAGCCGATGCATGTGCATGTCCTCTCCCAGCCATCACTCTGCTGCGGCACTTCAATGCAACGCACGGTGCGCCTGCATGCCAAGACGGTGTGAAGGGGTTCCTGCATGATGGCCTATCAATGTGAGACACGCCCACTGTAGGGGAGCAGCCAAAAATTTTGTTTTTTTAGAGTGAATCGATAAAAATATAGCTTGAAAAGTAAAGTTCAAAGTGAGCTAACTTCACACAGACATTGTTGCGCGCGTGTTGGCAAACGCTGAAGCTAAGAGCCAGTTTCTAACTGACACACAAGTTCCTGTCTCGTGTGAACTCGGCATAAACTGAGATCCGCAATATAAAATGAATCTGAACTGGCATTATGGTAACTACAAATACTTTCTGGTGGTGACTAGAAGCACGACAGGCTTTTGCAATTAATGTTCCCACTGACTGGTTTAATAGAATGTTCTATGATGAAACAAGCGCTAAAAATACACACACTCAGAGAGGACGCAGACAAGCGCTTCTAGCAACTGAAAATTTTATTTCAAAGCGAACACTAATAAATGCATCACACGCATGTACGTCATTCCCAACTTCCCCTGTCATCATCAACAACGTGATATAACAAAATATGCACTCCCATAATCAATGGCACACAACCAGAAACAAACACGTGTCAAGAACAAAGAAGTTGTGTCCTCTCTGAGTGTGTGTATTTTTAGCGCTTGTTTCATCATGAACCTTTACCAACACGCCCAACTGGCAGTCATCCGGAATGTTCTAATTTTACCCTGTCTCTGACACTCTGCCTACTCTATAGACTTTACTAAGAAGGCGCACGGAACTTATCTGAGAGAATGAGGACCTAAAGAGCTTGAGGACCCAATTTCTGAGCCACCTGGCCACATGCGCAGCAACCAGGCCACTCTTGTGCTCTTGCGCTCACATTGACACAAGGCCCTAAAAGCAAAAACTAGCGTGGGTCCCCAAGGCTTTTTGGGTATAGCAAAAAGGACTAAGCAGACGCAGTAATGGCCCGTGTCTTGCATAATGTTGGTTTCGCGAAATTAGGCGCCCCGTGCATTTTACCCGACTCTCTAACTTTTCTGATAATCCCAACGCAATAGCAGCCTCAATGCCTTGGGTCCCCAATTTTCTAGCTCTGTATTGTTTGTTTATTTCTTTGCGGCGTGGTAATGGCTCGAAGACCAAGCAAGAAAAAAAAAAGCACTGTGCTTTTATCACAGCTTCATTGCTGATTGAAAGTGATATTATTCATGATTCAATAAAAATTATTTTCACAGTACCGCTTTTATGTGATTAGGCTATGAATTTGGCAATTAGGTTAATGGTGTGGCTACTTTGGCTACTCTTAGCTTGAGTTGTGGCTCCTTTCGAATCTACTAAACGGCAACCCTGGCCTGTGTATAGTTCCTAATCGATAAAAATAAAGCACATTGTCTTTTGTGGGAGCCAGAGAGAGAGACAGCATGCCAAGTTTCAGGACATTTCTTTAGGTCAGTGTTGTCACAATCCGAAAAAAAAAAAAAAAAAGCCAACTTTGAAGCCAGTGACGTCACTATAGCAAGTTTAAAAGTGAAAGTTGTCGCATTGCTTTTCTCATCTGTTAATAAACCTACAATGGTGGCATTAACGACACAAGATTTTTGAGAGTATAATTTAAGTCTAAACTAATTTATTGTTTCACTTTAGCGTACCTTCAAAATGTTTAACGTGGTGAGGGGCTGAATAGGCAGTGCACAGTGTGCATTAGTAGTTCAAATAATGAAGTGGTGCCACGTGGTCGTTTGCAGGTTCGTTCGACTTCATCTTACTGGACCCACCCTGGGCGAACAAGTCAGCCCGACGAAAGCGCGCGTACTCCATGCTGCCACGCCGCCAACTGTTGTCGTCGGTGCCTCTGAAGCGACTTGCGTCCCCTCAAGGCTGCCTGGTGGCCGTGTGGTGCACCACCAATGGGGCGCACCTGCGGTTCGTGGCGCGTGAGCTACTGCCATCTTGGGGCCTGACGTACCTGGCCACGTGGTACTGGGTTAAGGTACGCGCAGGTTGCGGCCTTCTTATCGGCAGACGTGCACATTCCAGTGCCTTACCACATGCAGGTAACCAAGCACGGCGAGCCAGTTCGGCCGTTCGACTGCCCGCACAAGAAGCCCTATGAATTCGTGATATTCGGTGGCCCGTCGTCACTGTCCATCCCTCGAGACAAGGTGTTTGTTTCAGTGCCATCCTGCATCCACTCGCACAAGCCACCACTTTCAGGTGAGTGTAGAAATTATTTCAGTGAACATTCAACACAGCTTGTGTGTATGTGAGCCTGTGTATATATATATATATATATATATATATATATATATATATATATATATACATACAGTCAAGCCCACATATAACGGTCCCACTTAAAATGACTTTCGCTTAAAACGAACAATATCCGCGTGTCCGTGAAAATATACATTGGTTCAATGGCACAAAATCGCACTTACAACGAATGTCTCCGAGCGCCACCGATCGGTTACAGCGAACGGGGTCGGTGCACAGCTGACTTCCCGGGAAGCCACTTTCGACCACGGATCAGGCATTGGCAAGGTGCCCATACGTTGTTATTGTTAAACGCCGGCCCTTCCTTCGCGCCCCTGTAGTAGCTGCTCTCCTCGACCGCTTCTTGTAACGCACCCCTCTGTGCTTTGTCCCCCCCACTACTCTGAGCCCCCCGCATTGCCAGACGAGGCCCGTGTTTTCACACTGCCACTACTCTTTCAAAGACCGTTCGGCCATCTCCTCTGTTTTTGATCACTGGTACTGTCAATGGCGTCGCCGGCCTAGAGTGACCAGACCATTTGCCGACATCGTCGGCCACTGACTGTATCCGATCGTCTGCGTCTAGTGCACGTGCGCACGCTACCCCACGGACTCTGATAATTGGTGATTCGTTTTGTGTTTAGTACCTGTTCTCGCTCACTTCGCACTCGGCTCAGCATACCTTCCGCACGCACGTGGAAGCGTGGAAACGGCTGTTAATTTGCGTGGAACAAATCGCGAAATATCGAAATCGGTGAGGCCACGCACGTCCGCCGGCACAACAAAACGATTTTTTTACCACGACCGCCGGTTCTTTGAACACTGCCGTGCGCGCAGATCTAGGCGGCCGTGCTTTGACCTCTGCGCGCGGAGACACTCTTTCAAGTTTTTTTATGCACAAGTTGCACGTTTTGCAGACTTTTCAAGCAAGCTACCTGATTTACCTTCTTCCCGCGTTTTTTGGTTTTCAAGGTCGCCCTCCTGCCGTGTCGTTCCCTCTTTTCACTGTATCGCAACTCCTTGCCCTTCTCTTGCAAATCTGCTCTCTTCTCTTGATCGCAACCTCTTCGCCCGTCTCCACCACTCCGCGCGCCAGCCACGCTCGCTCGAGTTAGTTTCGTTTTCTGACTAGAAACGGGCCCAGAGCTGTTCCGCGCGTTCTGGCATGTGTGTCAAATGTGTGCGTCTTGCTCGCTTTTGGTGTGCATGTGTGATCAGGATGGCAGACGGGAGGGCTTGCACGCATTTTCCTGCTGCTCAACAAAACATCGAAAGTGTGACCACTTGGCTTGAGCGTAATCTGCGTGTTAGGTGCCGCGTTGAGGAGCGCTTGCTCTGCAAAGCATAGCTGTTGACCACCTGGCAGCCAACTTGCCGCTTCAGGGGTCCCGGTATTCGGTTGTGGAGATGGTGTATATTTCGTGAGTGGCGGTGACGGCTACAGGCGCGCGAAACGGTTTTTGCGAGACCAACTTCGTCGACGTCAGGCCCGATGCCGAGCCTGAAGCTTCCGAACTGGATCAGTTAAGTGGCAATTTGTGGCAGCACGCCGTCGACTCCGACATGGGAGAACGGGTGGAACATCTGTTGCGATAGTTTCATTACGGCCGATGATGATGCTGACACCGCAGAACCGTGCACGGATTAGGGCATTGTGAATGAAGTACGTGGCAAAAGCGATTTGGAGAAATTGAATTGCGAGAATGACGAAACTTTGGAGCCAGTCCCTCATGCAGCTTATGCCTCAGGCCTCGGCGAACAAGCACGCTGCTGTTTGAAATAAACTAGAGACCATCCTTATCGCTTCTACTCTTCGAAACACGTGCATCACGGACTTTTTTGGGCAAAAAAGTTTGTGTTTTCACTCGCAACTTTTTTAAAAGCTGTGTTTCATTTACTACGAACTTCAGGATACAGCGAACGGATGCCGCGTCAGGCTCAGGCTCGTTATAAGCGGGCTCGACTGTATATATGTACACACACACACACACACACACACCACCACCACCACCACCACCACCACCAATATAGGTTCCTGTGTTACATAAGCTGGTTTTATTTAAGGGTTTTTAAACCTTGGTGGGACAAGTTGACCTTTAGAGATAACATCATTTTTATGAGTGTGTTATAATAACAACAATAATAATAATCTTTTTCTCTCAGAGCTCGTGCGACCCTTCGTGAAAAACGGTGGAGCCTGCATGGAGGTGTTCGCCAGGTACCTCGTGCCTGGATGGACGAGCGTCGGCAACGAGGTTCGTAGTCCCACCTCTGTGGTTCTCTCCTTCATTTTTCCTGACACTTTCTTTTTCTTTCCCTTTTGTCTTTATTCAGGCACTCAAGTTGCAGCACGAAAGCCTGTATGAGCCTGCAAGTTCAGAATTCCCGCATCTTGATACATGTATCAAGCATAAGAGATGGAAAAAGTCATCCTCACTATTTTTATCACCAAATATTTTATTATGAAAAAAACGTTTTTATATCTTCGCACTGATGTATTATCTGCTTCTCTGTACGCCGCGCTGGTGTAGCGGTTACGGTCTTGGCTGACGATCCAAGGCAGTCACATTTTGGTGGAGGCGAAATGGTAGAGGCCCATGCACTGTGTAAGGTCGGTGCACGTTAAAAAACATCAGGTGGTCGAAATTTCCGTGGCTCTCCACTATGGCGTCTCTCATAATCATATCATGGTTTTGGGACGTTCAAACACCAGGTATTACCATTATTTTGAGATAGGTAGCAGTGCACTTGAAGCTATAAAGAAGTACGTCTACTTAGGACAGGTAGAAACTGTGAAGCTGAACCATGAGGTGGAAGTAACTAGAAGAATAAGAATGGGGTAGAGCACATTTGGCAAGCATTCTCAAATCATGACTGGTAGATTACCACTATCGCTCAAGAGGAATGTATATATCTGCTGCATCCTACTGGTACTTATTTATGAGCAGAAACCTGGTTGATTACAAAGAGGGTTCAACCTAAGCTGAGGGTGACGCAGCGAGCGATGGAAAGGAATATTATAGTTGTAACCCTAAAGTACAAAAAGGTAGCAGAGTATGTCAGGGACCAAACGGGTGTTAAGATTATCATAGTGGAAATCAAGAAGAGATGGTCATGGGCAGGGCACGTAGCGTGAAAGCAAAATAACCAATGGTCATTAAAGGATCACAGACTGAATTCCAAGATGAGGCAAGGGGTTGAAGGGGAGACAGTAAGTTAGGTGGGCAGATGAGATTAAAAAGTTATAGTGGCAGCAGAAAGCACAGGACCGAGTTGACTGGCGGAACATGGGAGAGGCATTTGTGCTGCAGTGGGCGTAGTCAGGCTGATGATGATTATTATTTTTTTGTGTCTTTCATTTGTCCGCGCATCATTCAGAAACCATTGCAACCTCCTCTGAAGGCGTTCCCTAATTTGCCACTGGTTCTCCTGCGTATTGCACACTGAGAATTTAACCTATCTCCCGCGAGGCTCTTTATGACCACCTCTACAACTGCTGTGGAGGGTAACGCTTCAGAGCAGGGATCGGCAACCTTCTGAGGCCGAGTTGCACGAGGCTGACACGGTGGGATCCGGACTAGGACTGCAAATTGGGAGCTGGGGGCGAGGCTTTTCAGGTTAATTTGATTTACGAAACTGGAAAATCTATTATGTTTGTTTTCATAACACATATCACAAGGCTGCAAGCAGCGAACATAGGTTACTAGAAAAAAAAAAAAAGCTGCTTTAGCGACTTTAGGGAAGGAGGGAGGGGCCATTGTGACACCGTGCTGTAGGCCGCAGTTTGCCTAGCCTTGCTTTAGGGTAATGGTAGTGACAATCGCTTTGTGGTCGTCGTAGTGCGCTGTAACAGGTTGCGTGACTACTTCGCTACGTTCGTGGCCAGGATCAAATCTAAACATCATCTGTACCACGTGGTTAGGCGATAGGGGTCATTGCAGCGGGCGAATTCAAAGCCCCTGACATGCTTTACAAACTGGTCCTTCTTGACTGGTGTCGCTCTGTCAACAAGAATGACGCCGGCGAAAATCATTGGTGTTGTTATTATGTGTACTGGTTGTCTTACATGTGAAAGGCTTGTGACATCGCTCGCTGCCCAGGTCGCAAACTGCCGTCGCCATGACAACATGCGGGGCGTGCTTATCACACCTTGTCATCATTTGTGTTTGAGTTGCTTGCTCAGTACTTGTTCTTTTTTCTAAAGAGTGGCGCTTGGAAGATATCGTGACGGGTTCACGCGCATAGCCACAACTGGCGGTGCTGATCAAGCAAGAATGTGCAATATGCAGGCGCTAATGTGCAGGGGTTAAAAAAGACAATAAAAAGCGTCTGCTCATCTTGCGTGTCATACGTGCGACACTTTGCTCTCGCCATTCGTGAGCCTTCCACGCAAATCCATACAATTTTATTTTTAGCCAACTTACCGGTAGTGTTGCTGCAGGTGTTATCGCAGCCATGCATGCAATGCCCATATATGACCGCGAATTAGCTTCATCTCTTCGAGCTGTACGCAGCCGCTCACAGTTGCGACTGATTAGCAGTGCGCTGCTTCACAGAACTGTGCCACTTGTTCAGTAAAAACTGCAGCGCACTAGGCCCATAACAAAAAATGACTTCTCGCTTCAATCAGTGAATAATTATTTTGAACAGCGAAAATGTTCAGCAAGTCGTTCCTTGTTTACTCCGTACCGAAAAACTATCAATCATTAACGGGTGTGCGCCACAGAAATTGGGTAGATCCCACTACCTACTTCTGGTACACTGAACATGAAGAAGGCAACAGCGCAACAAATGATCGCATCGCGACAGCAGCGAGTCGGAAGAGCCAGAGTATGTACAAGGAGAGATTACAAAATGGCAGCGAGACGTCCCCAAAGCGATGGAAGGCCTACTTCAACGACATCATGCCCGTGTCATATCAGTGGCTGTGCTTTAACTCGAACCTCTCTGTGCTGATAATAAAGAAACAACCTAGCATTGCCTAGCTCGGTGGTTCTCAAATGGAGATCCGCGAAGCCATTTCTATGATCCGCGAAACCCTCACCCACTTAAAAAAAAAGTCACGCTTAACCAGAGTTTAAGCGAGACTGTGCCACGTATTGAACTGTCCAAAATGAAGTGGTGCGGCACGTTTGTTTGATGTTTTTGAAACCAATGAAAGGCACCTGTTTCACGCTCCAGTTGTGTTAATTTACCTACGTACCCCCCCCACACACGCACACACTGTGTCATCTCCGCTGCAAGGGGTCTTCCATCACTTCCACCAGTGCACAAGGGGTCCCCGACACATCCATGGCTGAGAACCACTGGCCCAGCTGAAGCCTTATCAACTTGCTAAAGCCTGTAGAAACAACCTAGATGCAACCAGATCATTTCAGAATCGTCCAGTTTTGCTTTTTCAAGGCTTGAGTGGCTTAAAGAACCCCTGAGCCACCTCTGAGAACAAGCGTGCTATTCTCTCCCAGAGTCTCCCCTTAGAAACACCTATACCTCACTAAGTGATTATGATAAGGAAAAGAAAAGTGCCACCCGTAACTGTATCATTTCGACGACACCTAAACTGGCCGGCATAGGGTCTGGGGTAGTGGGAATAGAACGGGATAAGTAAGGAACCAGCAAGAGGAGGAACAAAAATTCGATTCGCCTCATGTGCGCGCTCAAGAACACACGCGCGCACCACACAGCCGACTGAGAAGACTGCCGAGAAAGCCGGGGGTACAGTGATGCACACGATTTAGCGTGGGCAAGAAGAGTGGGGACCTCCAAACTCACTTGCTGCTGTTGACAGTCCACTGGGAGGAGCGGGAGCACAGAACGAATTGATTCCACTAGCAAGTGTATTATGGAGGCCGACGAGGCCGGCGGCCTCGAGGAAGCGGGCTGCGTCGTCGTCGCGATCTTGGGGACGGCGGCAGGAACCGGCAGTTGTGAAAAAGCACGCGGTCTCTGTGTCGCCGTCGAACGCTTGGTGACGACGGCAAGAGACGGCTGAGTTGAGGGCGAGGCCGTTATCGTTGTAGTGGGGACGACGAGCGCGCTCATAGGACGAGGGGCGGCCTCCGAGGTCGTGCCGCCGGTACTGGTGAGCACATCTCAGAACGAGCGTCCCTTGATGAGGGTAGCGCTGCTGCCAGGGGTTCTAGCGTGTCCTAGGGCTTGGCGGTGAGTCACGGTACCGTCAGTTGAGGTTGAGGCCATGATGACCGCGGCCTTGCACTGGAGTTGCCAGGACGGGCAGCGCGGCTCAGTGGCGGGATGTTTTCCGCAACAGTTGACGCAGCGAGGGTGCTGGGCTGCACGCGATCCTGGGGCGCACTTGATGCCGCAGCGCAGGCACCGTTCATCTCACGAGCAAGTGGCAGTTGCGTGCCTGAAGCGGCCGCAACAGGAACACTGCAGGGGCTGGCGAGGACGAACCGGGTGCCTTTCCTTATAAAGCAGTATATCCGGGGGGACGGTGTTCTCCACGAAGGTGAGGGTGAGGCAGTTGCCTCTGCGGACACCAGACATAGGTGGCACAGGTGATGCAATGTTGTCGGCGAGGCCCTCGAAGAGGGTCGTCTGGTCCATTCCATAAACCATGCCAGCGCAGGTGTTCAGGTCCAATTTCTTGGCCCGAACCTTGGTCTCGCAGATTGGTGGTGGGGGGGGGGGGGGTAGATGTCAACCGCGACAAGCTTACGCCTGAAATTCGCCCGCACATGCTGGGTGATTGGGAACCCCGAGAGGAAGGCGGTGATCGCATCCCTCGACATAGCCAGGAAGTTGGCCTTCTTCCCGACAGGCCGAAAATGATGGTGGCCGCACTGTCACTCAGAGGAAAATCGCCAATGAAGTGGGCACCATCGGGGCGCAGAGACGTGCTTGGGAGCACGCGTGTACCGGGGGCGGGCACCGATTGCTCGGCAACCGCGGTGGTGAAGAGGCGAGACAAGGTGCTGATGCTGCTGGGAGGATATCCCTTGAAGGAAGCCACGGCCGTGGTAGAAGAGGAAGCTCCGGTTTGCACCTTCGCTTCACTCAGCGCTCTTGCCGAAGAATGATCTCCGTGAGGCCTTGTCGATGGGCAGCAGGATCACTCTCGAGTTTAAGGTTTGCTTGTTTGTGGTTTTGAGTGCTTTTTTGGCAGTTGTTTGTGGTTTGTGCTATTTGATTTTAAGAGTTTAAGCGACTCAGGCTATCTTGATGTCGGTTTCTTCACCTGGCCAAGGGTCGTATCGCTTGGCTAGCTTCTATACCGGCCAAGGATTGGCCAATTGATTCTTTTCTATGCAGTGGTGTCATCAACATCCCCATGGCTATGGTATCAACCAATGAAGGTACAGTACCAATGAAGCATTCGAAGGCGATTCAAAGAGAGCTTCGGAAAGCTACATCACACTTTCAAAAGATTACTGAGGTCCGGCATTTCGGTCGTGGTGGTATTTTGTGTTGCTCTGCCGATCAGGAGTGCGCCCAAGAGCTTCTCAATTGTTCTGAGTTTGCAGCCT